AGTTCAGTGAGCTGAGCACATAGGGTGTGAAATGCATGGTCTCAAATAAGAAATGGAAAAGCAGTAGGCTAGCAGAGATCAGGAAATGAAAACAATCATTGTTTGTCTGTCCTAACTTGAGGGCAGGCACAGAAATCCATATCTAGGATATTTGGCTGTGAATCCCACCCAAAACTAATGCTAAGTGTCTGTGCGTGAGCTATGGTCAGCATGCAGTTGACGGCTTATTCTGGGCTCTCTATGTATGTTCCAGTGACTCCACGACCTTAAACTACTAACTCATAGGTAGACTTTTAAATTGTGGACATCTACGTGAAGGCAGATAAAYGCAATCATCATTTTTTTAATGCAAAGAGGTTTGGTCAACAGTCTGTCCCCAGTACAAAAAGGGATGAGGAGCTGCTGGCGAGAGTCCAGCGCAGGGCTACGAGGATGATCAGGGGCCTGGAACATCTGCCGGTGAGGAARGGCTGAGGGAGCTGGGCCTGTTCAGCCTGGAGAAGAGRAGGCTGAGGGGGSACCTGATCAGTGTSTATAAATACCTCCAGGGAGGCAGTGAGGAGGAGGGGGCTCGCCAGTGGTGGACAGCGATAGGACTAGAGGAAACAGCCATAAACTCAAGCACCAAAAGTTCTGCAGGAACTTAAGGAAAATTTCTTKACAGTGAGGGTGCCAGAGCCCTGGCACAGGCTGCCCAGGGAGGCTGTGGAGTCTCCTTCTCTGGAGATCTTCCCAACCCGCCGGGATGCCGCCCTGTGCCCCGTGCTCTGGGTGTCCCTGCTGGAGCAGGGGGGTTGGACTGGATGATCTCTAGAGGTCCCTTCCAACCTTAAGCATTGTATGATTCTATGATTCTTGGCAAATAAAGATAGCATTGAAGGACTTCAAAAATATTTCAATATGTCTGGCAAATCGTGACCTCAGTCAGCTATGAAGGAAATTGAAGAGAATAGCTTATTATTAATAGAACTTTACTTTTCTTTCAGTCTAACTTTTACAAAAGTTTATACTCTTAGCGGTTTTCTCCTCAAAGAAAACCAAAACAAAATATTTTCCTATCTTACCTATGCATTGCAGGTTAGAACTACAAGTTGAACACATGTATAGCAGTTTTATCTGTTGGGTGGTTTTGCCATGCTTTCTCTTGGTTTGATGAATGATAAGTTTGCGTAATCAAGATAAGTAGAGAATTTTGAGGCAACCTTTAACACCTCATTTTGATTCTAGTTATATAGAAAGAACTAGGAATGTGCTGTGGACAAACTAAACAATAAGTACAAAACTGTCATGTCAGTTTAAATACCATTATTTGCTTCTGATCTATTGATATCTGAAAATAATAAGCCTTGAATATATATGATAAAGATATTTGAATTATTTAGAACCAAAAATTGAGCATTTGCTGACTTTTTTCGTTTGACATTTTCACTTCATTTTTTTTCACTTGACATTAAGCAGAATATTTTTCAACATAATTTCSTACAGCAATTAGCACGGTTTCTTTGATGCTCTTTTTTAATGCTAGTCAAGAAGAGTGCGTCACAATATTTCAATTAATAACAGAGCATGTGAGATTACATGTCGTGTAATATACTGGAAAGCTTCCATTTTCGGTCTGCCTAATGAAAAAGAGAATCTGTAGCTAGTTCCTTTTTCTGTAAAAAACCTGAAGCCTTGGAGGGACGTGAGGGAAGCGGAGGGGAAGTTGGCCTTTCTTACAGGGCRGCAGGAGGTTAGGAAGTTTCGTGTGCAGGACTGGGAGCAGCACATGATGCGAAGCAACTGAAAAATAAGGCAGCCTGCTTTTTGGCTGTGCTTTTGTGGTGTGCCAAGCCATTTAAGGCATACTCCATTCCCTCTGCTCAGCATTTTTGCCTGATCAGACACTAAAGATACGATCGCTAAGACTGTAGGATATGGTGGTGTGATGTGATAAAGTGACCTAGATGCATTTTATGTTGGCAGCTAAAAGCATTTGGTGATAATGGTTTGATTTCAACTGCAGTGTATTTTCATCATGACTTTTCAAGAGCTTCAAAATCCCTGGATGCTCAAAGCTTTAGGGAGAGTAGCCCCTTAACCTGATGTGCAGTGTTCAGGTTGGGGAATAATGAGATCACCTTTACARCCTTAGTATTTTGGACCTTAAAAAWTGGAAATTCACTCTGTGTCTCTAAAGTGTCTCGWTAAGGTTGCTTTGTAAAATGAGAGATACCAAGTTCTGCATGTGAACCAGCTAAAGGGGAAGTTCCTTGAAAGTACTTGACATTAAAATGGGTGTATGACACTAAACCAGACTGAATCACAAGACCCGCTCTAACTACAAGTGTCTGCATGCTGCGTTTATTGGAAATAAGCAGATGACTCTTTCTTCCTCATCAGAGGAAACTTCTTGAAAGTGGGTTAAGACTGAGCCCCGTGGTGTAAAGTTTCCGGTGCTTCCACCTCATAGCTTTATAGCTGCCGCAGAAAATCAAGGAGAGGCCGGAGGCAGAGTGACACTCACATCCTGACAAACGTGGAGGTAACTTTAGGTAGGGTCTGGGTCTGTTTAGCTGGCGCATCTCGCCGCTCAGCCAATCCCTCCATGTATTTATAACCCCAAATTATAAATTTGTTTTTATGGCGCACAACCGTGAGTCTGCAGTAAGCCCCTCCGTGCAGCTGAGCCTGTCTGCCACCGCGCCACTTCTGTTGGCCTCCCTCACCACACGGTTTTTGTTTCGGGTCTTCTCGTGAGCTTCCCCTTGCTCGATGCGGTGACTTTCTTCTCGGCCTACCTTATGTAACAGGTTTCCGTGTGGGGCCGGGCGGGGAGGAGCCTGGGTGCTGGTGCGGGCGCTGCCGAAATGAGCTCCACAGAGCTCGGGGCCAGAGCGGGAGCCCCCACGGCGCTGGGGCTCGGCCACCGCAGTGATCYGTGTCCTGGGGTCAGGCTTTCCTGCCGCCTCAGTGCCGTCGGACGAGTGGCTGCCTCTGCAGGGAGAGAGACGTCGCCGGGGCGGTTGGTGGCAGTGTTTTCAGTGCACTTGCCCTCCCGAGACAAACAGGCCCCTACGTGCTGGCACTAAGGGCGCGCTGCTGCGAGCTCTCTTGCTGTGCTTTGTATCTCGAGGCGACAGGAGAATGATTCTGCTTGCGGTTAGTGTGTGGAGGCAGGTGTCAAGGTTTGTCATACGTTCAGTGATGAGGTGTGGATTTTCCTGTCACCGCTCGCTTTGTTTTGTTCTTGTGACTTTCGCAACTTGGTCAAGTTGGAGGGTGCTTGGAAAGCCTGGGGTAAGTGTGGCACAAATCCAAGGGGCCACGTGGAAAGGGTGAGGGAGTGTTTGGATATGATATTGGACAAAGTGTTGCAGGTGGGAGCACCATGGCCCTCCCTATCTATGGCTGCCTTGCTGCAGCTGCACAGCCATGTACGCACGTTCCTGGAGCCGGGCACAGCCTTCCTCTGCAGCCTGGTGCTCGAGGGACGCCTTTTGCGTCTAAGGAGTCCTTGGAGTAAATGTACATRTGATACTTGCAACTAGGGTTAGTTATTTCTCACTCCCATAGAAATGGCTTTCTCAGCACCCACAGATTCTAGCTTTTCTTGAGTTGTTATTTAAATAAGCCAAATTGCTGTCTTATCCCCCTTGTCAGGGGACCAGACAAACCCCTGAGGTGCCTCCTTGGCATGGCAGATACCAAAAGTCTTATATACCAAAGGCACGTGCGTCACAGCAGTGATAGGAATATTGCTCCACCTCCTYACTCTCGCTGTGGTTCTCCCTTAGCCTGCAGTTGATGTGGGCAGGTTTTGGTCCCAGGCTCACAGTTTTCATGAATTCTAGTTCCTCACTAGAACTAAGGAAAGAATTTCTGAGGCAAYGAAGAAGCTCCTTTTCCAGTGCCCTGTCATCCTTGGGGTCGAATCAGAGCTTTGAATATGGACTATATGTGTTAAAGGCAGCCTTTGCTCTGCTGCCGGAGGTGGTGGCCTCCCTCTTAGGTCATTTGCCACCTCCATCACAGCACAAAAAGATAGTACAATTAAAGGCTGTTTTAAGGCTCTTTCTCTTTTTAGAATTGTTGCCTTTGTTTGCTGCTATATGCAGTCCTGAGAACAATCAYGAAAGATGAAAGTAAAATAAAAAACAGCTGGTCAAAGCAGGCCTCTAACATATTTTCATGAGGTCTCATTATCTCACAATCTTTTAAATAACCAAGAAATGTCCCACTCCCAAAGAACGTTGGATTTTTTTATACCGTCTACCTTTGTATATATAGCTGTGTGTTCTATATGTTCATGCAAATGTCAGTGAGATAAAATAAATATCCCCAAATAAATAAGCAGCTTAAATAGTAGTTTCTGTATTCTTTTTAGCATAACTGTATTAATTGGAGTTAATAGGAAGTGCATGCATGTGAGTATTTTTCTGATAGGTAGGAGAAGTATTTTCCAAAATACTATGACTTTTGATAAACTGTTCTCCTGCTCTCAGGAACGTAGATAGAATTCTTTTGGAATAAATCTGTGTTACACTCATAGATTTAATTTTAAATGATAAGASTTTGGGTTTTCTTTACTAAAAGGGGAAACTTGGGTGGTGAGGGGAAACTTAAGGGAATTGCTTTTTGTTCAGTGTTTATAGTGCTTCAGCATTCMCAAGGGCAGCCTGCATCTTCTCGTGTCATTTGAATTTTGGCCTGCCGTCGAGACGGTTACTCAGTTTGGGTTCAAATCCTGGCACAAACAAAAAACCACTTTCTGTGTCACAGACAATGCAATACACAGATTTGAAAACGCAAGTCCGTATTTGTGAGGAAGTTAGAGGTAAAGAAATCCCCTGTTTTTTMTTTGGTTCTTGACTAAGAACTCTGGGTAAGTACACTAAAAAAAAGTGCTTTAAAAACAGAAAGAACTGCTGATATCCATCAGACAAATAAAAAGTATATTTGGTATATTTAAGGGGCTTGTTTGTTTGTTTTGCTTTTTAACATTTCATTTTCTTTTTTAGATTTCGGGGATTTGCTACAATAGTAGTATATTAAAAGTTCATCAAATTCTTTGTGTACCCAGCTGGGTAGCAAAGGTATTTTCTTGGACTCTCGAACCGATCTTCTCATCTGCGGAACCCACAAGCGAGATCCGAGTGGGAATGGGAGCAACAGTGGACATCCAGAGACAGCAGCGGATGGAATTATTAGATCGTCAGATCATGATGTCTCAGGTCGCACAGATGCGACGGCAAAGGCAACAGCAGGTATTGATGCATATTCTGGAGAGATGGTATTAAGTTATAATGAAAAGAAAAAAATGGTTCATTGGTTAATTTGTGGCTTGTGTTTCTGAAAAGTGTTTTGCTCTATTGATCTTTTGTAGACTCATCTATGGCTAGTAACTGTTGACATGTTTATTTAGCTTAGCTGGATAAAATTGCTTCACAAGATATGAGCAGATTGTCAAAAAAAAATTTGTAAGAATATCAAGTTTTCTTCTTTCTGTCCTTCTTTCACCAAAATTGAGATTGAAAGGTAAAGTGATTGCCTCCAAATAGTCTTTAATAAGAGCCGCTGCTGAAACTCAGGAAGTCATAATGCACCCAAGTGTTTTGTTTATCGATACAGTTAGCCTCCTTTGCAGAAAAGTTGCAAATTGGCCATATAGTTCATGTGCAGGTGTATTTTGCATGGATTTTCTTTGAGAAAGTACAGAAATTCAATTCTCTAACTTTCTTCTAGAAGTCAACCACAGGGGCTTTCTGTCTGCCGCGAATCAGGCTCGTGGCTTTTTCCTTGCTGAACAGAATAGTAGTGCCTTTTTATTTTCTCTGGTTTAGTTGAGCTGATTATTGCACGTTTTCACATGCTTCGTACTGCAGGTCAGTATTGCAGAGCAGCTGGTGTCTCAATTCAGTTTCCTGCTGTATCATAAATGTATATGTTGCTATGCCTGTCAAACCTGGGGGTTGACATAGGCCCATATATTGCCATGTATTTGTGGAAAGGTTGTCCATAATTTCATTAAAACTTAACAGTTTGAGGTCTTTATTGAGTTTCCTCTGCCTGACATGTAGCTGTGTAGTAATTTGTGCTCATAGTGCTTGTGGTAGCTCAGTGCAAGTAGCTGGAGCTATGTTGCCATAAATATATTAGCARAATTAGAGGGATGGTGGCATAAAGCTTTAGCTCTAGATAGCAACTAGAGTGTCTGTCTTGATTTCCCATCCAAACATATCTTTCTTTTCCATAATTTCTTATCCTGTAATATGGTGGAAATGTTCCCTGCATTGGAAGGTCCTAATTTGCTTTGCTGTATTCCCATTAGAGCATTAACCAGTTTTAATGTTAAGCTGCTTCATATWGGAGCAGGAGGCAATGGCTAGATATGAAGGAAAGTCTTTATGATATATTTTCTAATTGACAAAAGTAGTAAATAACTTCGGGATGGTAGATGAATAAAAYGAAAAGTAGCATTTTCTTCTCATCTGCTTTTCCTGGGCTGTGAGTTGTGGAAGTGGAAAAAGGTCTTTTTGTACCTGGCTTCAGACAGAGTGGAGGGATTTTAGTAAAATAAATGAGTATTGTTTAAAGTTATTAAAACTCTTCCAGGTGGTGTGTATGTTTGACCTGTCTACATTTTATTGCTAAATTGTGAAACCAGTGATCAATGGAAGGCAACAGAATTGATGTGTGAACATTTAAAAAGGCTCTGCAGAAAAGATGAGTCACAAAAGCTCTTGACAAGCCTTTATGACACGCAGAATTTACTGGATATCGAGCGAATCAAAACAAGCGTAATTTAGAAATGCTGAGATATGCAGGTGAAAGTGAAAAGCAGACTAAGTTCAAAACCTTTTCCAGGTTGCTCTGCTTGGCCAGTTCCCACGTCTTTAGAGGCTTGCAAAGGTGYAATGTGAAAGTAAGGGAGTTGAACAGATCATGCTCCAGTTGGAAGATAGATGGTAATTTTATCCATTAGGCAGAGGCTAAAAAGACTTCAGATGATTCTCCTAGGGAGTTTTATGAAACTGAAAATAATTAGGGCTGTCAGGTATCTATCAGTCATCAAAATGGTCTTGGAGTTATATTCCAGGAGAATTTTATGTAGATTAATGATGTCTCAGTATGTATCTATAGGTGATACGATATGTGGGTGAGATGAACTGACACTTTCTCTCCTACTTTCTACATTTTKGGGGGAAGGAAGTGAACTGTATGTGTTGTATCTTGTGCTCCACAGGGAAACTGTTTTGCTTGGTGGTCCCGTGGGAAGGGGCTCTGCTCCTTCCTACTGTTGGAGAAAAGGGACAGGTTGGAAAGGAAGACACAAGAACAGAAAATAAGGTTTTAATGGTGCTCCAGTGTCCCAGCTGTAGCATGTGGTGAACTCCGTTCTGGCTGTGAATAGGCCATTTTTTTAATTAGACACTTTCTGTAGTAGAATTATTCTTTGAGTCTTTACAAGAAATTTTGAAAAATGTGACTCTTAAAAACTTAGACAATCAGCAGAACAAGAGTAAAACTTCAATAAAAACCTTTTTTCTTTAAATCAAAAAAGGGAGAGACTGGGAAGAAGATTTCTCAGGAGTCTTATTTACTGCACCCAAAAGCTATTGGGTTGTACATAATTTTATCTTTTTGTACTCATCACTAACCTCTTTGATCCAAGGCAGYATTTACTTTGGATATTTTCTGTAGGGAAAAAAACTTATATGTACAAGGGCAACTCTCAGCACTTTCCCTTTCCCAGCCTTTCTTAACTGAAATGTGTTGCATTAGAGGAGTCTTTTAAGCTCAGAACAGTGCATGTAGCTGCTGGGCTGTCAGACACTTGCCATGTAGAGAAGTAGACTGAAGGTGTTTYAGAGTTTGAACCTAAATCACTGGCTTGGTTACTTGATGCATGCACCTTGCTTTGACCTAGCCCTTAAAATACTTAGTGATACTGTGTCTGGATGTGTTGTTAGAAACTGAAAAGTTATCTTAGGTTGCTGGTTTCTCAGGGGAGTGTGGTTACATGATGACTGATTTTTGTCTTGGTTTCTAGTTGCTAGGGATGCAGCGATGAGCTAGTCACAAATTGAGATAATCGAGTGTCTCCCCATGTGTTCATTTCCTGAAAAAAAAGCCAATTTGCTATTTTTTACAGCTCTTTTTTATTTTCTATTTTTAAAATATTTTTTCCCGTTTTGTCTATTTTCCCAATTAAATAGTTTGTCCTCTTTTTCCTTCATGTCACTCTTGTTTTTTCATTCCCCAGTACATCCTTTTCCCCCCTCACCTGCGTCTCTTGCCCTTCATTGTTTTCCATACTTGGTGTTCCCTCCTGTGCAACATCCTTTGCTTCAGAGGATGTTTTCTCTCATCATGTCTTACTCGCCTGTCATCCTTTGCTGATGCATCCAGAGCTTCGTGGGATTTTAGGGACAGATGTATCTTGCTGTGCCCTCCTTCAAGGATGTAGGTGAGGTCTTCAGATACTCCTTTTACATACACCAATACACCTGAACATTTTGCACTTCTCTCCTGACTTTTCTATGTCTTCATCTCTGTTATTTCCCAGGATTTTTTCAGAAGTTTGCCTGTCAGCAACGCACATGAAAGCAGGGGCGTGAAAAGGGAAGCAACAGCAGCCTCGGTGCCCCAGGGCACAGCAGGGCAGCCTGACTTTCACTTCCCACTGCCACCCGTGGAGGGCAGCGGGCAGAGAGCCCCATTTGGAGGACATAAGAGGGAGGCTTTTGCATCTRGGTGGTGTTGGTGACACTGTTGTCACTAACAGCAGGCGAACAGCGTATGGCAAGGTGGTGGGAAGTTGCAGACAAGATGGTCGGTGCCTTCTGTTGGCAAGAGGAGGGCAGGAATCTCAGCTGCTTCAGCTTGAAAAGTGCCTTCTGAACCCACGTGGCATGTGCCCTGTCAGCTGTGCTGAGCACATTAAAGACACTGTGTTTTACCTGCTTTTGGGTCTTTCTTTTCTTGCCTCCGGAAAGAGTTTCGTCAGGTTGTTGGGGACTCTGTGGTGAGCCTGCGYCTGTGGAACAGGATCTTCATTCCCTTACCTCTTGTCTGCTCTTTCCACCACTTTTAAGCTATTTTTGTCTTTTTCATCATGTCTTTTTGTTTTGCTGTTCCAACTGACATAACTTTTCAGTGAAGCCGGAGACTCCTTTGATTCGTGTCACACGGCCTCTCTAGCTGAGATCCATCTGCTTGCAAAGACCAGACTTCGTCTGTAACAAAGTGACTTCCCCTAATTGTTTCTTTGCAAGATGTCTCTCTCCTGGGACACTGGAGAGATGCTCTGTGGGTAGGTAGGTTGAGTGTCTTTATCGTTATGTGGAGTCTTGTATCCTGAGAAATGTGCAAGTCATTTTCTGAGCTAAGGACTGTGAGGCTAGATTGCTAATGGACCCCCTGGTTATATCTAAAGAGTAACTTCTGACCTTGGAGAAGAGGATTTGATGGAGCAAAGACCTTCCTGTGACAAGAATTCCTTTTCAAGGATATTATCCACATTCACAATGCTAGGAAAAATAATCCCTTGGGGAATAGACTTCCAGATAGTCCATCTCTGCATTCTCAGAGAACTGCAGGAACTCATTCTCATCGTGTCCTTCAGCTTTCCTGCCGCTGCTGAATGATGACGCTTTGACAGAGTCTTCTCTAGTCCAGTCAGATGTTTGAGTGCCAAGTACTTCAGAGACTGTCTCGAACCTTTATACCAAAAGGGATGGACAGCCTGTTCATATCCTTCCAGAGACGTACAGATCTTACCAGTAAAGAGTCTGCTTTATCTGAAAAAAGGGGTGAGATTTTTCAGCCAAGTGTTACAATCTTTTTCTCCAACCACATTTTCATTCCAACCACTTCCAGTCACTGTATGGTACCTAGGGCTACTTGGGGTCTTTCAGACCTCATTGAGCCTTTAATTTATCCTTTGCTTTTGGAAAATTTCCTGACATTTTTGAATCTTGATTATTCTCTGTAATTTTTAACATTCTTTTTCTCTTCCTTTTTAGGACAAACTTGTTTTTCTGTCAAATGTGGGTCTTCACTAGTTAGAAGTTGTTGAGTATAAAAGCTATGTCTATACTCTTGAGCTTGACAGTGTGATGTTTCTTAATGCTTCCTTTCAAATGGCATTATTGCAACAGTTGATAACAAACAACTTTTTAGGCGTTTTTTTTCAAGGGAAGTTTTTTTCATGATTTCTAGATGTGGAATCATGAAAAATTTTGAACTTCGTGGCTGCTGATCC